TAGATTTTCAGTACAAATCGGCAATTTCATACTTTAACCCCTATTATAACGAATCTACTGCCTCTGAAGCAGAGGCCATGTGGGAACCCACACGTGTCTAACTTTTGAGTTTCTCGGAATTTACAAGCGTAATTTAACTTGAAATTTAACTTGAGCTTTCCGGCCGGAGGGACCGGAACATGTCTAGCTCATCCTCTACTGGCTCTCCGGGCTAGTGCGGACATAGCTACCGACTTATAGGGCAATTCACGTGTCCCGCTTAACTAGACCGCTACTAAGACACGCTAGCTGCGCGTGCGACGAACGCCCCGGCCACACACCACCGGGGCAGACGAACGTGTTCGTCTCTCCACCTAATCACAAACGCCGGCGAGTCCATACCCAAGTCCGGACACCCGCCGTACCCTGGTATTGCCATCGACCCCGTAGTCTGTCTGGCAAACCCTATCTCTCGGGTCGGTAGACAGGGACACATAGGGAATTTAGTAGCAGTAGAAAGGAAAGTTTTAGTGGCAGTAGAGATCCTTGTGAAAAAGTTCCTAAACCTTACCTATTTCTCCCGCCAAGCAATAACGTGAGCATTACTGCGTTCCGATTAGGAAGTGAAAGGGTGCTGGTGAAATTACAGGCACATGGGACTTGTTAACTGATGTCTCAGGGTGACGGGCACAGCGGCAGTGCCCGATACCAACCCATGTTGGGCCAACGTGGCATAATATGGCTTAAACCCCCGCCTGAGAGGAGACCCTTTCTTTTTTATTTTTTTGACGGGGGGAAATCTTTATGGATACCTCCCTGAGCCCAGGGAGACGCAGGGGTTATGTGGGGACTCTCCCTCCAGACTGGAGGGCCTACCCCACTAAAACCCCCCCGGGTTTCCCTCTCGCCGGTTGAGTCGGCGCCGTGGGATCAGTGAACATTCACCACGACGCCGCCCGGCCGCCCTAGCTTACGCCAGGGCTCCCGCGCCAACGGAGGGGCGAGTCGGTTGTCCTCCGACCCGCCCCCCAGACGAGTGAGGCCGTGCAATGCAGGCTCCGGAGTCCCTGTCCAGAGCCCGCTGGTCTCACTAGGGGATCAGGCGAGCAGCGAACTGCCTTCGCCTTCTCCCCGTACGTCTGCGCCGGAGCGGGTGCGCGTTCGCCGCGTCCTCGCGCACCCGCTCCGCTGCCTCCTTTTGCGACATAACCTCTGCTGAGAGGAGACCCCTACCCCGCAGTGGAACGTATAAATGGGTTGATGATTATGAGACAAATTGTTCTTGGCTAGCCTTATGTGTTTAACAACAGTGAAGAGTCTGTGTTAGATAAAGATGTATGGAAAGACAGCATGAGTCTAGATTCCACACAATTGTGAACCAAAGTGTATATTCCATAGCATTTAAGTTTATTTGAAAATAGCAATCCCTAGAGTTTCTTGGTCGTTCATCTCAGGGAGGTCAGCGTAGTGAACGAGCAGTAACTTACAAAATTACGTTTGCAAGTGTTAAATTTTACAGGAATACATGATTATTTATTTATTTGATCACGTGTCCGCACGTCGCAATGAGCTGAAGTGGCTTACGATTCACCAGTGTCGTGATTTGAGAACACTTTCCACTCTTTACGCTATCATTAATGATAAATGTGCACCTGGATATTTGAAATGTAAATTTCAATATTTGGGTGCATCCCATAATCGCCATCTTCGCTCAGACAGCAAATTGACTCTTTTAATTCCTTCTCACCGTACTGGTTTTCTTTCTAACTCATTTTCTCTTCAGGCAATACGACTCTGGAACGCTCTACAGCCCCACATTCAAAAAGCGCCGAATAAACTAGCTTTCAAGCAATTAGTCCGCGATTTCATATTGGAGTCTCAATCTACAACTTTGTAGTCTGACACTGTTATATATAAATATGTATATTAAATATATATGTATTATATATTATGTAATTATTTGTATATAAGTTGCTTATATAAGTATATAGTTAGTCATATAGTATCATGTGCTATATTTATATTGTGTTTAAACTATATATCATAATTATTTATAAACTTCTTCCTATCTGTTTTAATTATCATGTTTTATAATTAACAGGGGTGCATAAACACGTGTTAATTATTTTGAACCCAGCTCTCCAGTTGACTAGTAGAGAGTGCCTAATGGCATTAAGTCCGCCATTTGTAGTATTTTGTGTGCAATTGAGTTTAAATAAATAAATTATTTGGCTTTGACATTGACTTTGATGTTCTTGAAGAGTTTGTTTAACTTATATACAGGATGTTATCGTTAAGAATGCCCGGGCGATTATTCCAAAAATATAAGAGATATCAAAAAGCTTTAAACTGATATCGAAAGTACGTTACCCGATGAATACACCGACATCAATAACTTTTTAAAAACAAAACTAGAAATATCCAAAATTTTTACATTAAACGCTCCCATATGTTTAATATGACATTCGGAGAGGCTTTAGTTTTTCTACTGCAAGAGGTAACAATAAGTTACCAGATGACAAAACTAATACAAATCAAATAATGCAACTATCTTTTAATTGAGTAAAAATATTATGGCGTAGTCAATTGTTTAGTCAAGTGTGAGTCGTCCATAAAAATGAATAAAATTGATCAATTTTTTAGTGCTGGTCTCACTTAGTTTCATTAAATGGGACGAAAAAAATTGGGCCAGCAGAAGTGGGTCAAATTTAATAAAACTTTTTTTCATACAAAATTAATCTCCTATATCTCTTATATTTATGGAATAACCGCCCGGGCATACTTAGCGATTACACCATGTATAAAACACTTAAGGTCACAACTGCAAAATAACGCAGGAAAGAGGTTTAAACATTCTACGAAAGAAATTAGTTGAAGAATTTTTATGCTAAAATATGTATGAATGTAGTTCGTATTATTGTTATACCTTTCAACATTTAATTTTATTATAGGGTACGAATTATTAATCATTAACATTTTTTTCCTTATCCAGAAATACTACATCAACAATCAAATATCAACAAAGAAACGGATAGCGAAATATCTATATAAATGACAAGTATTATTTAAAATCAACTTAAGAACTTATAAAGTTGAAAAAAAAGAAGAAAGTATGGATTCACCGAAGATAATCTACAAATACTACTCAAACCCAGCCTTCTGCGGGCAGAGCGAAAATTTACAAAAATGTAGAATCACGCCCGACAGAAGAATGTCACCATTAGGTTCAAATTCGCCCAGTAAACGTGAGAATAACAACCGAATGCGAACAGATATATCAGATAATCCATTACGTATTCATAATAGTAGATATAGAGACGAACCTCCAGAATTACCACCAAAACCGGCGAAATTCCAAAATTTCCATCGACAAGCTTCTATGATATGTAAAAGTACGTATAGAAGTTCTACAAGATCTAGAACGAGAAGTGAAGACCTGGAAATGGCACAATTTAGACAGCAGAGAAGAACTAAATATGACCGTAACGCAGAAAGTGACGATGGGTTAGAAGACAGTAGAGTTAAACATCGATATGAAATTATAGATTTCGACGATTTAGACGTAGATTATTCACCAACAAAAAAACGTATTATAGAAGCTGATGCACATGAAATTTTGGAATATAACGTCGATGGTCCAGATGACAACGAAATGAAAGAAATACCAACAGAAATTGTTAAAACTGTAAACGGGAAAACACTTAAATACGCCATTGTACCTTCTGATGACGAAATTGAACCAATAAAGCGAAGTAATGTTACATTTACTTCACCTATCATGTCAAAAAAGAATCTCATAGCTACGCAGAAGCTGCACGAATTGTTGTCGACACCACCAAGAAAACTAACAAGCTATGCAAGTCAGCCTTCTGTTAGAATAACACCGAACAAAGCTATCGATACTCCAAGACATTTAACACCAAAGAAGGTTACAGCAAGTACGCCTACCAAAAATATGACTCCGTCGAAATCGTGCGCAAATTTGTCAGTCTACAAAATCAGGACTTCGCCAATATCACCAAAAATACCCCAGAAATTAAATTACGGTTATCCAGAAACAAGTTTTGACAGACATGATGTCTTTGTAACGAGTTTCAGTGAAAAAAGGGAGAGGAGTTTTGATGATAGAAGAGATATAAGCAGAGAGAGTAGAAAAGACGGGCATAGGAAGGACAAGAATACAGCTGTTATTTCGCCTAGGTAAGTTGATTTACAGTTATGTTCTTAGATAAATCTGTATCTACATCAGGCCAATGCTTGTCTACAGCGAGGTTTCCACGCATGTTTCATTCATTACAACTGGAAAATGTCATTTCGGCATTTTCCAGTAATAACGTTAGCTCGAATTTTCATAACCTCGAAAGTAATTTTGAGAGGAATATTTTTTCTTTTAAACCTAACTTAACCGAACGTAATCGTGTCATTGCGATAAACATCCTACATATCCTGAAAGAACAACGGTTTCGTTATAATTCGGTTTTCGGTGTAATGAAAATTCGAACAAAGGTTATTTCGGAAAAAAAGTGACAGGTTACCAGAGATAATCATGGACCAATAATTCAAGAGGGTTGCTAATCGCGATACAGTACTCTTTACTCATGTGACAATACAGCGTAGTCGGGCATTTAGTACCTAGTGGTACACCAGGTGTCGCGTCAAGTACCAAATAGCTATTACAAACTAATTTGTTTTACAAACTGCATTAGCTTTGATAGCTACTCTAATTTCTAGTGATAACAAATCAATCAACTAGATGGCGTTTTTTGCACAGATTTTTATGGATAGTGCCGGCTATTCTGTTTTGTTTAGGATTAACGCCAACTACCCATATTGGGAAGCGTTAATTTATAAGTTAATTTATGAGAAAGTTCCACACACTGAATTGCACTGAATGTGACATAGTGGAGGATGTATCTTGACGGAGTGTGTACGAAACAGAGCCGAAAGAAGGGATGTCTCTTATAGTTTGGATTGCAATTTGGGTGTATGTAACATTTTCTTATCTTCCCCAAGATCAAAGGAAGCAAAATTGTTATAAATAGATTAGTTGATGTGGGAATTAAGCGAAGACCGTAGATGATGTTTAAGGAGCCTGTCATTATGTGGTGACATTATCTGATCAAGAAAAAACCCTCCTTAAATAAAGATTAAAAATAATTAATCTCATAGCAATTAATTTGTAACACAATACCATCTATCAGATAATAATTTTAGCTCGTGATCAATCTTCTTCATAGTGTGCCGCTTATCTACGAAGATTGGCGACCAACACCGCTATTCTCATTTTTGAACCTGCCGCACGAAAGAGGGAATGTCTGCTAAGGTGGAACAAGTATCTCAGGTTCTTCAACCACGAGATTTTCTTTCTGCCTCGCCTACGCTTTCCTTGAACTCTTCTCTGCATTATTAGTTAGAGTATCCGGTATCTATTACATGATTAAAACACAGCAGCTTCCTTTCCTTTACAATTATGAGTATTTCCAAATTTTTTCTCATTCGACGAAGAACCACAACATTGGTAACCTTTTGTACCCACGATATGCCAAGCATACGTCTGTATAGCCACATCTTAAAGCACTCCAGTTTTGAGCATAATGCTGGAGTCAAGGTCCAACACTCCATACCAAACAGCAAGATATTGAAGACATAACAGCGGACCAAACGCATACGGAGATTAAGGTTGAACCTTCTACAACACAAAATCTTTTTCATTTTCATGAAGTCACTTCATGCCTGTTCTGTCAATGATTTGAATAATATTACAAGGAAAACAAACTGACTTCTTATATTTCATATTACAGAGAAATTAATTGATAGCCATGACCTTTGATATAATATTAACTACTTCCATCCAGGCTATTGATCAGAGTCATACAGATAGTCGTAGTCCTGGTGGTAAGCAACTCTCTTGCCCATTATCTAGAAGTACAGGCCCTGCTACAGCACTCGTTACCTCGAGACATAAAGTTACCTTTAACGAGGCAATGTGGCTGTACCTTACTGGGCGAGATCTTTTGCAAGGAACTCTTCTGCTGCTAAACTGTAGTAGGTTGTACACCGAAGGTAAATTAGTGCTGAGCGCCAAGGTATGAATATAAATTATTGACTCTAATTTTCCAGGGTAGCCCCACCCCCCTCAGTCTATTCTGACGAAACCTACAAGTCTCTGTCAAGTGTGAAAGCTGTCAACGCTGCCACTGCATCTCTGACCGTCGCCGCATTGATGCTGACATTGTGTGGCGGGTTGTCAACCGGCTTGAGCTTTTACATGATGTACAGTGTAAGTATACTATCTTTGCAGAAACTTCGTTATCCTATTTAAGAGTCAGGCTTGTGTCGGAGTAGTCTCTTCCACTCCTCACGGTTCATAGCCAGCTCCTTGATCCTTTTTATAGCCGCTCACTTTGACCATTTTCTTTTTTGTTTACTATACGCCATTCTTGGTCTTCCTCTGTTTATTTTCCTTTCGATCTTCCCCTCAATTACCACTCAAACAAATTCGTCATTCATTACGTAACAAATGTTCAAAACATTCAACCTTTTGTTCTTTATTTGTATTCAAGAGATTTCTTTCTTCTTTCGAGTTTAATGATACAGATCTTATTAAAAAAATCATAAAAAAATCTGATGTTTCCAATACCATACAACGATTGTATTTTATTTCCTTTCGATGGCGACAATAAACAAACATTAATTGGGATTTTTTATTCCATTTGTTACCACTGGCAACTACTCGGATAATTTAAAATCCATTTGTCGCCAGTGGCAACAACAGATCTTTTTATCCCTCTTGTCGGCACCTGGGAACATATGGGGTTTTCCCAATTATCACCAGTGGAAATCACCACTGGCAACAAGTGATTTTTTTTCCCGTTTGTTACCACCTGGTAACATCGCCAGTGGGAGCAAAGCCAGTGGTGACGATTGGGAATAGGCGCTATTTGCCAAGTTTTATTGACATCGGCTACTGGAAAATATGCGAAACCTGATTCATACCGTAGCTTGCCACCCTTAAGTCCAATTTATATTGCAGTGGATCGGAATGGAAGATAATTTTTGTAACGATATTGTAAATCAAAACCAAAATCTTCCTAGAATTGTCGCAATGCACGAACATTCTCGAGCAGAACAGAGAGAAGAAATCCACGGAAGATTTTGGCTCGTATCTACTTTATACGTTACACAATTGACCATAACGTTCATTATGCTATGTACAATATCGTTACAAAAATTCGCTTCCCTTCCGTTCCGACACAACATAAATTAAGCCTAAGAGGTGGAATATTTTCTTCAAATTTAAATAGGACCAATATTGAGGTACCCTCTTTCCAACAAAAAAAGAATCATCAAAATTGTTCACAAATAGAAGCAGTCACGCAACATACACACACAAAATGCAGTCAAATTGAGAAACTTCTTGTGAAAATTGTTAACTTAAGGCGCTCCGCAGATGGAGCAAGTTTAATTGACGCAACTGGCAACTTGTTGTAGCAACTTTAAGGACTAGAATTCACTTTGGGGGACTTGAACACTGCGGGGGACGGGGAGGAGTGAAGTTGCTGTTGCCAGTTGCGGAAACTGGCAACTGGAGACAACCGGTACAAATTTGTAAGTTTCTAGTTGTGGCAATTAAAAATTTATTTAATCACGGATTTCCTCAACTGAAGTTGCTACGTCTGCGCGGTTTCTTGAAATTATATGAAAAAGTCATATATAGCTATATGCGGGTTGCCAGTTACAGAAACTCAATGATCAAAATTGCTCCATCTGCGCAGCGCCTACAAGTTTTTACAAATTACAGATGGGTCGCCGCTATTATTTGGACTTTAGCGTGCTGTCAGGGTTCACCTGCTTCCTGCTGGGCCTGCTCGGATTCAGGTCTAGGCGGCAGCAGCTGCTGCCGAATAGGAACTTCATTTCTGGTCAGTATTTGTTTTCTAAATCTCTAAACTCCGCGACAATAATACTACCGTCCATGTCATAAACAACATAGGCAATCGAAATATAAGAGAAATTGGAGTATTAAATTATCTGGAATCAGCAAAACGAGGTCTACAACCCTCAAATAAGAGTTGATATCTTATTTAATTCCAGTTTTATTGTTTTAAGGAAAACAGCGTAATTGACATTTTTCAAAATAAAAACGAAACTTTATTTGGAAAGTCACCAGTCTAATGCAAATGCGTTGTTTATGACAAGAAGGGCAGAACAGCTTGACACAATGGATACACGGACGGACATTCTACAATTGGGGCCATTGGAATAACTTTACTAAGAAAGCTTGTGACGATCTGCGTAAGGGTGAATTTCACTTTCCGAATTTCAGTGGCACTTTTTGAGTGATTTTTGTAAAACCCTTTTTTCTTTTGGTTTTAAGGTCTTAAACGTACAAATAAGTTCAAGCAATGTCAATAATTATAAAATCATAGAAATATTTAAGTAAAATACAACAAAAAAAAAACGATATTTAGGTCACACGAATGAGATTGCAGTAACACGAATGAATTTCTCATAAACATACATTTATATACAATTTCTCATTGCTGTGCCGTATTTCTCATTAGAAATACGGCACAGCAATGAGAAATTATTATTACAACACACATTTTATCGTTCACAAAAGAACATTTAACAACATTTAATTTTAACATGTAACAAATATTGTCATATAACTTCTTGTATCAAAATCCTTCTCATCCGTGTAAGACCATCTATCTATCGATATGTAATTAATAAATAAATCTAAATAAGAATTTTGTTAATGTCATATAAACTTTGTTGTACATCAATATATCATCATTACCACCATCAACATTATCATCAGCATCATCATCATCACTACAATCTTCATCGTCATCATCACTATCATCATCATCGTCATTACCATCATCACCACCACTATCACTATCTAATTGTTATATTTCAAGTAAATGTTTGGCTTAAAGTAACTATTTAACTTAAAAGTAGACAAGAATGAGAGCGACAATAATGATATTTGGATACATTTTTATTTGTCAAGTATGTAAAATATGCTGGACCGTTGTAAAAGTGCATGGATTTTAAAGTTCCCTTTGTCTGATTTATGTACAATAAAGTTTATAAAACTATTACTTAATACTTATTTAGATAGATTGCTTTACATGAATGAGAACGATTTAGTCACTAGCGCTGAAATTGGTATTTAAGTCGATTTTTTGTTAAAACGGAGATGCACAGGTTTTTTCACTGTGTACCCTCCAAACCGACAGGAGCCCCTTCTCACGTGTGCGAAGGGTGTAGGTGATGCGGTATGAACTTCTGTTGTTAGGAGGCTTTTAGTTGAATTGACACTAATGATAAGAAAAATTGAAATACATTTGTGTTCCCAAGAAAACATGTTTGTTTGTAATAAATTGGAATGTTACGGTATGTATTCAACGTGTAAGTTATTAGAGTTTATCCTTGATGGAAAATATTGCGATTTCCACGAGTGTTTAATTTTTTCTTCTTTTCTTAAAATTAGGGCGACGTGGAACCGGCTCCCACGACTGAGAAATTGCCCACTTTTTTAATTTTTATTTATCACTGTGACGTAGTAAAGTAGTCTTTTTATGTGTAACACAGACTAAGTAAGCAAGCACTCATATTAAACAAATAATGCTTAGCATTCATGTAATAACATAAAAGTGAAAGGGACACATTTTTGGAGGTTATCTGAAAACGACCCATATACGCAAATTATGTTGTATTATAATGTGACCATATGTTCCACTTTGAGCGGGACAGATCCGCTTTTAAGCTTCGTGTCATGCTGTCCTCAAAATACTTAAATTGTTAAGCCTTTCTTTCTGCTTCGCATTTTTTTTTTAATTAACGTCAAGTGTGTCCTGTTTGGTCAAGGCTTCCAGCTTGATATTTAAAAAATGGCGCTCTAGCGAAAAATATATAAAGCCAGCCACCAGACCTCACAAGATTAAATTCTTTTTTTAATTTTGATCGTTAAACATGATTAGTTCTTATTTTAAATCGTTTTTAGATGATTGAACATTTTGTGATTATCATAAACATGACGTTTTATTTTTAAAACAATAATAAATTTACACGCATCCTGTTCTTAGGGAATAATATATTGGTCACATTATATAATCTACTAATTCAATAATTTAAGTTGACATAACTATTGTGACAGCTTAGATTGCAAATCCCATATGCACTAACTTCACTTACCTACGAAATACAGACGTATTAAAATTTGAATTTGTTTCTTTTTCCATTCCAGGTTACATTGTTCTCTCAACATTTTCACTCCTCAGCGCACTGGGTCTCCTGATTCTCCTCTCTGTTCAGCCTAAACCTGGTACGGCGTTAAGTGACGTCACATCGGGTGCAGTTTGCGCTGTCAGCATTCTATGCCTGGTCGCGGCCAGTGCTGGGGCTATCGCTAGCTATTGTTGTATCCGGGGACCACCGGACAATCGAGTCGGGACCACGAGGTGGTATTGAAAGGTCTCTAAGGTTAAGATCACAAGATGGTGATGGTTAATGTTGTTCATAACTACACCCTAAACATCGAGTATATAACCAGAAATAGAGACGAAATAGGGGCCATCCATTCCTGGCAACTCGTCAGATAGGTAGTTTTGCTCAAATATTTATTAATTTAATGTAGTATCTGAAAGAGGTATAATTTAACTAATTAAAATGCTAACTACAAACATTATTGCGTTTACTACATTTTACACCACATTTTCATCTTCGTCCTGAAAAATTACATAAAAATCACATACGAGGTTTGCACTCTAAGAGTGATTACACACCGCGACTTTGAAACGCGCGATTGTAGCGAGATGCAATCCTAAAAAATCCCAAGTGTAGCGGTGCAAACGCGCGATTGTATCGCTGCAGTCGCGCGCTTGCATAGCTACTTTTTAGTAGACTTTTGTCGCCGTGTGTAATCGCTCTAAAACGACGATAATTCCAAAAATAACGTTTTCGAGAATCCGCCAAAATCAATTAAAATAAAAAAAAACAACCGTGTCACTTTTTAATTATATTATTAATTTCCGTGTGAAAAGACGAGGTAGCATATTGATCTGACCTACCGCTTATCAAGCGGAAATCTCTGAAATACTAATTTTGTAATTTGCCATAAGCTTTTCGGTGAAGGAAAATATTGTAAGGAAACTTGCACACATCTGCGAAGGAATTTAATTATGTTTATGAAGCTCCGAATCCTCATTGGAAGGGCTAGCTTTTAATTACAGTCTAAGCCCTCTCGTTATGATAAGAGGTATGTGCCCAGCAGTGGGACTATGTAGACTAACTATTATTACATTTACAACTTGAGTAGCAGTAGAGCTTCTTCTGAAAGAATTCGTCCAATGAAGTACTACCACTTCACGTATTACTTTACTCAGGCAGTCGTAGCCTACTAAGCGCTTTTAAGGCATGTTCTAGTTCATGTCGTGCCGACAGGATTGATCGTGTAGTTCGTTTTGACGCACTATACCAGAAACTCAAAATGCCAAAAGGGCAGAATCTCAGATTAGCAGAATTGCAGTTAGTGTCGTGGCATAGAACAACACGATTAACTGTCGTTCATAACTGTCGTGACAATGGAAAGAGCTAGGACGACAGTCGTCCGATGATAAATAAAACGTCACGATAAAAATGTGACGACAGCTAATTGGAGCTTTGAAACTTCTGTCGTGCAAACGACAAGGCGGCTGCCGTGAACCGGTAAATTGTCGTCACGATCTAGTGGGGATAACTAGACACGACAGTCTTAGAACGATAAAATAAACGTCCACGACACAGTCGTGACAGATAGTCGTGATATGGGAACAGGCTAGTTGCGACAGTCGTCCAACGATAAATAATACGTTACGAGTACATAATGGGATGGCAACGCGCCCGTTAGTTATCTTTTAATATGCGCACAGCACAGGAATTTAATTCCCTGCTTGCGACTCACTTTCCGAGCGAAAACAAACACGAATATCTGTAAGGTGTGATTGAATAAAAAGCTACAGTGTTAATAATCTCAGTACAGAGTACTAAAAAAACCGACCTCAAAAGTACGTGGAATTACGTCTATTTGCTAAGTTTTATTGCAATACCCCCTAGTTCGCCACTATACAGGACTTGATACTGGAGATAATAAAAATCGGTTCTCACTACTCAAAGTATATTGAGAGAAAAACGCCTTGAGTTGGAGAATTAGCAAAATCAACCATTAAAGTAATTGCTCTTAAATTAATGTTAGGCGCTATTTATGAAAATGAATCTTCATGCGTGAACAGCCACCCTTCGAGGTGGATGATTTTCTTCAAAATGAAATGGGACCACTATGGAAGTACCCCTTTCCAAAAAAAAAAAAATCATGAAAATCGGTTCACAAATACCGGAGTTATCGCATAACATACATACAAAAAAAAAGAACATACAGTCGAATTGAGAACCTCCTCTTTTTTTGAAGTCGGTTAAAAACTTCGAAAATTAGTACAAAATTGAAATTGATTTTCAGTTTTTTTTTCTCAAATACTTGAAATATAATGCCATTGGCACGTAGGCGAAATCAAGGTATTATGTACACGCAGCTTGTTCATTTAGTTTTAAATAATTATTAAGATTATTATTAATTTTATTGTAAAGCCAAAGGATAATTGGTTGGAATATTATGTAAACTGTTGTAATTTGTAATAAAATTTTAAACATACTAAAATTTTTGTTTTATTTTTGGTAGTGAGTCGATATGTTTTTGAGGTGAACCATAGGAATAACCTTCATGAAGACCTTAGAAACTCGATAATACCTGCCACTATAAATAGGTATGTACCTGCGCAAACTGTCATAAACATGTATAATTTAATTTTTTTTATATAGTCCAATATTTTGCCAAAAATGTTGTATCCGTGTGGTTCATCAATATGTAACATACAATGAACACTCATAATTCTATAGATTAGAGCACTTGACCAGTCGTGACCTCACATTTAACGGCCGTTTCACTACGTTCCATTCTACTCGTGATGTATGAAATTATTAATAAAAACCAACGCGAATAAAAATATTGAAAGTTGAACAAGTTGAAGGTATTTTTATAGCTACTCAATTCGTCACTATTATGCATAAAAAATGTATATGTGAGAGACACAGAGAGAAAATAGCAAAATAGAAGTACCTTCCTTTGACAAATTCAAAAGTGGATCTTAGTGCCAACGTTTTATGGTAAAAATAACTTGTCGCCAACACCTTTATTTAAGTCCTAACTATAAAGTACTATTTATATTTAAATTTCTAGATTACAACTTTAGAAATAATAATTGTTATCTACATTATGTGTAAAACGTATCGCAACTATATGCTCCTGTCAAAATACATCAAAGTCGTTTGGTGCTTTACTCTCGTTTCGTAAATTTTTTTATTGTTCTATTCGATAACAACATCACGGCTGGCGTTTTGATAACAAACGATAATTAAATTAATCATGTTGTTTCCTTGTGCAACTTCATTGTGCAGTGTTATAAGACTATTTTGTTAGAAAAACATGCATTTTTGTACATCATAGTACTGGCTGCATTTAATGTAAGTTGTCTTTGTTCTTTTTATATTTTTATTAGAAAGTAGGAAGAAGAAATCACACGCTCTAAATAAATTTTTTTTTCCTCGCTTTTTTACTTAATAATAGCGCTTTGGCGTATATTTGTATACAAATAAACAATTTTAATTTCTTTGATGACATCTTTTATTATAACCGTCGAAAAAGGATTGTGTATCGGTCTGTTTTCCAATAATATTCCTTAAATCTCTTCAACATTTTTGCATTGTTAAAATAATGCACAGAACTCTGCCTTTTTTTGGATGTGTCTACACTCTTGGTTGTTAGTTCTATGCGCTTTGATTATACAGAGTTTTCTTCAATATTTTATTAATGTTATTTTATTTTATTTATTTTTATTAATTAAATAATCCTTAACCAGTTAAATCACAGGCACAAAAATGAAAATATACTTTCTATAGTTATAATGCATTTGTTATGTCAAGGAAGACTCTTTCATATTTCAAATGCTCCTAGATGGTTACCATATTTCATATTAGTTTGTCTAAGTATATATTCATTTAGAATACTAAAATATAACTTAGCATTGAATTAGTCTTCCTATGTTGTTAATAGTTTTTAGATTTTTTAAATTCCCGTTTTCTGGTAGATAGAAAAATTGTTTATTCAGTTTAACAGGGCTATGGAAACATGGTTTTGTTATGTTGTGGTGTAATGAGATGAGATGGTGTCTGCAACTCCACATCTAGGCACCTAATTTGTGTGTGGTGGGTATAGGGTTCTACATGTGCCATGCTAATTCCTCCAGGAGTCTCGTGATCCTCCTGGGTCCATCATTCCAAAATACGTTATCTTGTAGTTGAACACTCCGCAAAGTTGTAGTAGGACATGTAGTTTGACAACCTCTGTGACCTAACGGTTTATACAGTGGGTGCTGGAAGTCCTGAATTTGATTCGCGGTAGGTCCAATTTGCAAAATGGAACTTTTGAAATTGGTTGAGGTCGGGGTGTTCGGATTCCGTTGCTCTGATACTCATTGTACAGAGGATGCCCTAGTTTAAGACCAGACAATTGGTGTGGTTATCTGGCACATTATTACAATTACATTATTATTATTGTATAATAATAGTAATAATAATTTTGTAGCAGTAAAGCCGTAAAGCTCCTTGAGAAAGAATTCGTCAAGGGAAGTACTGCCACCTTACCTATATCTGTTGCTAAGCAGTAATGTGATTATTACTGCATTTCGGTTTAAAATTACAGACGCATAGGACTTGTAAGCTCATGACTCAGGGTGACGGGCGCAGTGGCGGTGTTCATAAGATGTTACAAATAAAAATTAGTATAATGTTGTAAAGTAATATATTAAGCAATATGTAGTAAGAAAAGAACAATGTCTTCTGTAGTTGCTACGCCTTAGCAGGGCATCGTGTTAACTGCCCAACAATTGCAACAAATGAATATGAATATGGCCCTGCTAACTATCATGTCTGTAGAGCCACAAAAAATTCCTGTTCCTACAATAGCTACTAGTAGCAGTAGACCTCAGGGTGAAAGGGAAGTCCAGGGAAATACTGCCTTCTTACTTATGTACGCCGTTATTACATATGCCTGGTGTTAAGCGACACGCCTATCACTAGCAGTTGTAGTGCCAGAGTTATAAATCGCAAAGATCTGAGGGTCACTGCCACTTCGCCTCTCACACAAAGACATATGTTGACAACTGCTTATAGTTTTTCCAGCAGCTTTACCCTTCTAAACTTAAGCACACTTAAGGCTCACATTACTGCTTCGCGGCATAAATAGGTAAGGTGGCAGTACTTCTCTGGACTAACTCTTTTACAAGGACCTCTACTGTTAGGTACATTATCAGATACTCGCAATTTGCTTTGCATTAAAAGTTTATATAAATCTTTATAACTTTATAACCTGAGACGTAGGTCACATCTCAGGTTATAAAGATTATATTCGAGAGAATATTCATTGAATCATCCATTCAATTTATATATGTTTATGAATTGAATAGTTGATTCAACAATATTTTATAAGTAATTTCAATGTGATTCATTAACAACCAAACAGCCATTCATCTATCCAAATGTTGTCATGTATATAATATTATTGAAATAACCGCAGCAGCAGTTATAATTATAATGTGTCAGACTTCCTTATTTAAAGTCGTACCTTCACATATGTCATCTGCAGTTTGATAACAGCACAAACTTAGTGTTCCCTACCTACATTTTTCTACCTTCATCTTTGTTTATTCTCTAGGCTCCTTGCTTAAATTTACTTCTTAGTTTACCGAAAAAAAACCAAATTCAAAAGTTTGTGGTATTACAATTATTTGCCAAGTTTTATTGCGATTAGCTAACGGCATTCATAATTTGCCATCCTTATAAGTGGAAATTTTCTACAATTTGGAATTACAACTGAGGTATCCACTTTCCAACAAAAAGAATCTTCGAAAGCGCTTCACTCGTTGTTGGAGTAATCGCATGAGGGCGCATTCCCACTATGTCGCCACGTTTTATCACGACTATCTGTCGCGAACGATTTTTTATCGTTGAACGACTGTCGTGACTAGCTGTTCCCACTAGATCGTGACGACAATTTATCGTTTCACGACAGCCTCCTTGCCCATCTCTGGCTACGACCCAACGCTACTTGAAAGCGAGCTGAGGGCGCGGAGTACGAGAGGGGAGGGCAGGGAGCAGAATACGTGCAAACAGCGATAAATAAAACGTGACGACAATAGGAGCTGCGACAATCTCTCGTTACGTTTTTATCGTCCGACGACTGTCGTTCTAACTGTTCCCACTGTGACGACAGTTTGTCGTTGTAACGATAAAAAACGACAGTAAATCGTGTCGTGCTATATGTGAACAACTTCATTTAAATATACAAGCCACGACACTGTAAACTGCACGACAATCTGTCGTCACGACATAGTGGGAACGCGCCCTGACATACAATAAAACTACAGTCGAGTCGAATTAAGCAACTTCTCCTTTTTTTTGACGTCGGTTAATAATGGTTCGACCACATTAAGAAGTAGACAGGCTTCCTCTACTATACAACCAATTAAAGATAAAACCGCTAGGGCTTCTGTCGGCTGACCTCCAAAATTCAACTTGAAGATACCCTCTACCCTCCCGGACAGATAATTTGTGCCATCTTGCATTTTTATTGTTAAGGAAGAATACAATTAAAAAGAAATTGACATTTTGTTTGTATTTGACACTTTGTTATAAAAAAAACACTTTGTTTATATTTGTGCTGTTCTTACTTCTTTGATTTTGTTTAATTTATGATGTTGTTACTGTTGCTATTTATTGGCATTTTGACTTAATTTTATACGACATTGCTTATTTGACAAATTGTATAATTTTAATTTATGACATTATTTAACTTCAATTTATTTTAATATTTGCGTGCCAGTATCTGTCTTTCAGTATTAGTCTTTATTCCTGGTGAGGCTAAACAGTTGGGCGGCACTCGCTATACCAGTGCACTCACGATTTTTTCCTACGATTAGCTTTCCTTTTACCCGCGACTTTTCCCATCATTATCAGTTGCAGAAGCTCGTAACTGTCATGCTTAAGTACATGACCCAGATATGCAACTTCTCTGTTTGATGGCCTGCAAAAGTTTACGCTTCTGCCCAACTAGTTGCAGAACTTCGTCGTTGTTGACTTTCTGAGTCTATGATAAGTGCAACATTATTCTGTAGACGATTGAAATGCTTCAATACGTTTCCTGATGCTCTTTTATTGTCCAGGCCTCACATTGACATCCCTATAAAAGTATTGGCCTATTATTAGGAAGTTTCAGAAATAAAATTCCAACTCCTTGTGTTCTTCGTTTATTGATATGAAGACTTATTACAATTATACACTTTGCATGATAAAATAGCACGGTAAAGCAAGATGAGAGGCACTGTCCTCTGAGACTCCAACAAACAGAATGTCGAGCAATCGAGTATCACAAATTAAGAAACGTTAGCAGTATGGTGGGAGCTTTTTGGTAGGGCTGCATTTTTGGCGCCACCAATATAGTGTATTGTGGTGCCATCAACTAAAGCTACTGGCGCTACCAACCTAACAATGTAGCAACGGAAACAATACTCATGACCAAATATACTCTTTAATATAAATAGTGCTCTAATATTACAAAAATATAATTACAATAGGACAAAATTATTTATATGTCTAATATGTCGCTTACAGCTTGGACATCCTGATTAATGCGAGTCCCTTCGCTTATGCAACAAAACCATTACACCTTCCTACTAGAAAAAGGCACTCCATTCTGTATAATAAAGCTACATTATGTCTAATTATTACTTATTTCATTTATTTTAATACAATACCAAGTGACGGGACGAACAAGTCGTGCGCCTGGGGGTAAGCGACACGCCTGTCTACATATTTATAACAGTTGCAGTGTCACTCAACTCCTTGCGAATCTTAGGGGCACTGCCACTGCGCACGTCACCCTGAGGCATAAGTTGACAAGTCCCAAGTAATACCTACATTAAAATTACAATAAAAATTACGGCTTGGCGGCAGACATAGGTAATGCGGCAGTACTTCCCCGGACGAACTCTCTCACAAAAGAAATATAATTGTTACTATTTTAAATTTTCCCCTTTGTCCCGTTAATGTGCCGTTAGTGTGTGTATATTACTTAAGTAATGAGCTAACTAATCTCTTATCGCTTACAGAGTCCAAAATGGCGGACAGACGTCATATTAGAGAGGCAGCAGAGTCCTTATTGGGCTCTGTCACCGGACCACATTATTGTAGGAATTTGTGTGAGTACATTTATTTTAATATAAAAAAATCAATTTAGTATTAGTCTATCCAAATAATTAATACGGGTTACATTTCGTTACGAGTAGGATGCTATTGCTATTAGACCGGAAATCACGTATCCAGTTAAGTGATTATTAACAAACAGAGAAACAATGGACAATTAAAATCAGAACTGATTGTGTATGTACTGGTGGGACTTCACATGGCTATGTATTGTATTTGATGTATTTGGCAATCACCATACTTTTTTTATAATATCAAGTGACGGGCCGAACAAGTCGTGGTGAGCTACACGCCTGTCCATATCAGTTGCAGTGCCACTCAGAGCTTTAAATCGCAAAGACCCGAGGGGCACTCCCACTGCGCTTTTCCTGAATATTGAATAACAAATGAATGCGGCACTGGGGAGCGCACTATGAGTTTCGATGATACGACGTCGTGCCGTGCTTCGTGACACGTTGCGATGTCGTAGATTTCCACGAGACGACGTCGCATCGTGAAACGATGCCGCGTCGTATCGTGTTTATGTGTAAGAGCCCTAATTCATAACTACGTTCAAGGAGCTAAGTGCTGTTACATTATTGTTAACAGTGACGTGCACTAAAATTTATGGAATGTATAACTTTACGACGCAACTCGGCATTTGTTTTTCGAAATTCGAATTTTCAAAAAATTAAATCTAATGCGATCGTCACTTACGGGATCGCTGGCCAGCACAACTTCTACTTCCGGGCAAACTCGCGTCGAAGCTCAATGCAAAACAAAGCAGTTTGGAATTGACGATATTTTAAGTAAACATTTTTATTTTCGTTTTATAAAAGCTTTTTAATCAGCTACCCCTTGCAATACTAGTTATAAACTTAGAATAATAACGCATAGAAACCTAGTCCGCACACGCTAAGTGAGGCAAATTGAAGCGCTCCCAATGGGCCTACACGAGCGGGCGGGCCGTCAGTGCTCAAGGTCAATTTGCACCGCGAACAGATCAAGAATTTTAGCTAAAAATGACGAAATGTGCGGTAAATGAGTGTAAAAATACGTCAGACATACATAAAATAGATACTAACATCAACTTGTATTTTTATATAAATATTCACTAAAACCGAAAATTAACCTACTACTAAAACTAGCCTACATTAATTTATTTTTGCCTCACTTGTGACAATTCGTTTGACATGAAACTATCATTCTATGCGTTATTATTCTAAGGTTATAAATCTAAAAACTTAAATAAGTAGATGCGACTCGCATTTGATTATATTATTTCTATAATGAATTGAGATTTGACCTCACTATCGTAATCTGTCAAAACGGCCATCATAGCGTGCGTGCCGGTACGGTAGTAAAGTTGCTTCCATAACACAGTAAGCACTGCGCCAATGTCACCGCTATTAGACACCTGTGTAAATAGTAAAAACATTTTAAAGATAAATTGAACGAGGAAATAGATTACGATTAGATTGACATAATATCGTATCTTTACAATAAAAGTAACCTAACTAAAAATAATCTTAGTACAGAGTACTAAAAAAATCGACCTCAAAAGTACGTGGAATTACATATAATTACCAAATTTTATTGAAATCGGTTACCGGAAAGTGCGCAAACCCGGATTCATCCCCTAGTTCGCCACTATACGGGACTTGACACAGGAGATAATAAAAATCGGTTCTCACTACTCAAAGTCTATTGAGAGAGAAAAACGCCTTGAATTGGAGAATAGCTAAATCAACCATTAAAATAATTGCTCATTATACCAAAATTTAGGCGATATTTATAAAAATGAATCTTCATGCGTGAACAGCCACCCTTAGAGGTGGATGATTTTCCTCAAAATTAAATGGGACCACTATGGAAGTACCCTCTTTCCAACAAAAAAAGAATCATGAAAATTGGTTTACAAACACCGGAGTTATCGCGTAACATACATACAAAAAAAAAAGCGTACAGTCCAATTGAGAACCTCCTCCTTTTTCGAACTCAGCCGGTTAGAAGGATTTTGTTCTAAGTGTTATATCTTTGTATTAATAACAAACTAGTGGAATAATTTCACAAAAATAATTGAATATCATGGTGAAACATCGTGACATTAAATTTATTTATTTATTTAAACTTTACAGCTTTTAAATTTGGTTTACAATTCTGAATAATTTACTTACAAAGCCAATTACAAAGTTTGTCAAAATTAATTCGATGCCAGAACGAAGCGATTTAAAATATTGTTTATCAAAGAACAATCTAACAATAATAAAATAAATGAAAACTTAAAATTTACAATTATTAAAGAGGCATCTCTAATCAGTCGCTGGTAGCTGTAAAGGTACCTGGCTGAGTGAAGAAATAGATTTCTCACAGACGGCGCTACGGCAAAAAGTCGTTAAAAACAAAAACAAAGATTAACAACAAGCGCACAGAAAAATTAGTAAGGTCCGCTGGTTCGTTCCGTGACTTAATTGGCATAGCGTCTAGCAGGGTTTACTTGGAAGATGCTGGTTTGAATCCAGTCGGATAGACGGAATTTTTTGTTCGCGTTCGATCTTTGTATTAATTATTACAAAAAAGTTAATCTATACCGTAAAACGCTTTTAAAACTCATTGTTCTTAATGTTTTTTAATCTGGAACGAGTGTTGGACCATGGAAAAATTTCATTTTGAAAAATTCACATTTTTTCAGAGAAATAATTTTTCCTTTATTTTTCCACATTTGACACCTATCAAAAGTTACTGAAGAAACACAATGGACCATTTTTAAAGATTTTTTTAACGCACACACTCATAGCCCCGCCCTATGGAAACCCTTTATCGCGGGTGCCATGGACACACACATATAGACAACTACAAATTACACCCAAGCTCACGAGAGAAATAAATATAGGGTGAAGCGGGGCAGATTCGTACACTTTTTTTTAACTTTAATTTTGGGCTACTAAATGCAATTATAATGAATATTTTTCTACCTAATTGGTGATATAAGTAATAAACATTACTAATTTAATATTTTCTGTCATAAATAGCATCTAATAATTGAAAAATTTTGTTTTTAACAAAAAATGGGAATTGTCCGATTCTGCCCCACCGCTGGGGTATTTTGATACATCGCTTGGGGCACTTAGATGTGTGAATCAACACAGTGTGCCGTTCCTGGTTGCCACGTATTATCAGCACTAGGTGATCAACTGTTCATAAAGTATGACGCCATATATGTCTCAGCACTTGCTAGATCAAGACTTCTTTCTAGGGCACTATTTGAAAAATGTTCTTTATAATGTAGTCTTGGAAGTAGTAATACAGGAGGAAGAGCTAACTATAGCGTTAACTATAGCTAACTATAGAGCTAACAATAAGTTTTTGAAACAGTTTTACATTTTTCGTACAAAATAACTAATAGGAGTACTTTGATACGTACCAAACTACCCCATTCCATAGTGTATAAAAGTACCTCACCTCAGAGTTTAGAAAAAAATATTATTTAAAAATAAATCTATATATTCTCTCAAATTCACATGCAATTCTGGTTATTGGAAACACTAGTTTACCATGTTATGTAAACATAAAACCCTGTAAAGTGAACAAAACTGCAGTGGCGTTTTGTGTCGCTTATTTATTTAGTCAACGGCTGTGAAAACACTTTGTGACCTGTCGAACGACTACGGCTAACCGGTGATCTGCTTATCGCATGTCTATTACCCACACGTACAAAGACACTTTTTAGTATTATCACAACTAATGTATGTTTGAGGGTATGGAGATAATGCAGGTGTATATATGAATGTCCCCTCTGTGTCAAACTGCCCGCTTCCCCCTAGGCCATACATGGTAATTAATATACCTATACATAGGGCGCACTATAAATTTCCTGAACTGGCCACTTACATAAACAATATTTAAAAAGTAATTACAACATTTGAAAATGGAACTCTTTGGCTGTAGAATACAGTTTGTTTCATTTGACTGTCTCATGTTTTTACATTGTGGCGTCAATTTATTAATCCGGACTGCCGCGCAAAGGTCCCAGGTTCGATTCCCGGGCCGGGAGAAATATTTGTATGACCTACATTTATTTCTCTCTCGTGAGTTTGGGTGTAATTTGTGGTTGTCTATGTGTGTGTCCATGGCACCTGCGACACAGGGTTTCCCTAGTGCGGGGCTATGTTGAGGGTGTGCGTTATTATTATTTAAGAAATTGGTTGTCTACATCACCATGGATTTAACATTTATGTGAAAATTTTCGTAGTATGATTTTCTGCGACTTTAAGTGTAATTTAACAGCTCAGCGGAGCTTCGCTCGGCCTCAAACTGCTTTTGGCGATGAAGCACCATGCAAGACGACTATTTATAGCTGGTTTGCAGAATTCAAATGCGGTCGTGTGAATCTCTGTGACGAATTTCGTGATGATCGCCCGTCCACTGCTGTGAACAACAACAACATCAATGCTGTGCGCCGTATGATTAAAACAGACAGACACGTGACGTACCATGAGATTCGGGCATCTTCAGGCATAGATAGGCATGAGTCAAATACAATCAATACTACACAAACATTTCGGTGTGAAAAAGCTGTGCTCTTGGTAGATCCCTCACAATTTGACCGAGGCTCAAAAACAGATCGCGTCACTTGGTGCAATGCCATGCTTACCAGATTCAACGAAGGGGCGTTAAATTTGGTGTGTTATCGGATCAAATAATTCGATTATATGTTCGATCTTTTGGCGGGTCACTCTTCCCTCACGATACTTCCATATGGCGTTTAAAAGTGTCTAATTATACAATTAGCTTTTATTCTTTCCTTCTGATGAGTAATGTACATAAAGTTAAATGCATTATTGATAAACCATACTTAGGACATTAAAATTTCTTTCTAGGAAAAGTAACACCTAAAAAAACAAAAAACTTAGAAGCATTCAAAATTACTAATTTATTATTCATTAATATTTTAATATTAGCTAGTGCACTCATAAATAATCACAATATACCAAAAAACAGATTAAACTTACAAAATTACCATGTAATGGACACTACGCCACGGAGCTATTAGGATGAATGATTGATGGACTCATTGAGCCGTTGATCCGTTAACCTGTTGACGCGTTAATTGCTTGACATTTTAATTCGATCGAACGAAGATTCTATCGAACAAATCTTTGACCCAAACGAAGAGTGTCGTGAGTGGGGACTTCACGTGAGAGTGAACGAGACAACAATAATATTGTCAATTCCAGACGGTGTTATATGAATTGTTCAATAATCTCTAAAATTATAGTGATAAAGTCGAATATTGCGAGCATGACCCATGAAATTCTAAAATGATCGGGTTATTTAAAAGCTTGTACAGGTGCTGTTCGTATCATTTTGATTCGATCGACCACGATCGACGCACGTCTAGGCTAAGGAGACATTGCTACAAACAAATACCGATAGTGTGCAAATGTTTATTTACAAACAGTAACCTCTAAAGATTCTTACTTAGTCTTCTCAGGAGAATCTGCCTTAACAATGAGTAGTAGAGTTTAACCAATGTGACGATTTCAAGTGAGGAGACCAGGGAAAGAACGATCAAGTCCTAATTTGTTAAACGCTGAGTGTAATTTGCCTAAATCAGGAGAAGGCTGATAAAATTCAATATCCTGAAAATTTAACTTTTAGTTTTAGGCATAATGAGACTAAATGGTAGTCGAATAAGATTTATAAAGGTTTTTTAGGTAAAATGGATTACATTGGGTTACACACATTATGTCAACGTACTTTTGTAATAATAATAATAACAAAATTATAACTAACTAGTTGACACGTAGAGTAACCAATAAATAGAACATTAACCTTAAACAGTTAATTTGTAAGTAGGTGTAAGTAGTAGTAAATGAAACAACACAAACACTTGAGCCAAAATATCTACTGTTTTGACCAATGGTTTGTGTATGTTTTGCAAGTTGTCCTAAATAAATAAACGTTGACTTAATTTCAGTTAGCATTTTCGCATGTCTTTTTCACCAACATTGAACATTTTTCCAAATTATTTTTTTTTATCTAAAGTTCTCCTCAAGTGATCATTCTTTCCCTGGACTCTTCAAGTGTCATTTGATTACCCTAGTTGATGTATTCGTATTGTAACAAATGTTTATTTCTTATATTTCAGCGCATTCACAATCAATAAATCTGGTATCAGAAGACCTAGTGGCAGGACACAGACCGCACGGCAAGATGTCCACAGTCAGAAGATTTTTCTGTCTCTTCGTCACCTTCGACATATTATTTAGTAGTCTGATGTGGCTTATTTGTGTTATGGTATGTTTTCAATTAATATTGAAATAGATTACATTATAATTGTACAATACAATATAAACACTATTGCACACAACAAAAAAATTTGAACGGATACTTTGTCGTGTATTTAAAAATGGACATTCAACACGTCAGCAAGTTTTCATTATTGTTATGATTTCAAAAACGGAAGCTCGACGCGTCTTCAATTTACTATTATTGTCGTGTTTTTAAAAATGGAAGCTCGACGCATCATTAATTTGCTATTATCACAATGTAAAGAACATAATTGGTTAGGTGGCGTATGTATGCATTTACCTTGATGAAGTACACTACCCATCCTACCATTTTTAAGTATGTGTAAACGGGCTGATCTGGGGTCAAAATCTGACTGATATGTTCTCTGTACAGACTTACTGGGACGGGTAATAGTGTACTTCCGTTATAACCAAGAGGTAAAGATAATGAGGGGCACTATGATCCCCCGCTGCCCGGCAACATCGAACATCCAAAAGTCTTGTACGCCGCCTTGTATAGATTCGAGTAGTTATTCAAGTTCAGAATCGGAAATTGATGCTGGATGAGATGTGTAATAAATTAATATAAAATAATTTTTTTTTCGTCTACCATTAGCTTAAATTATAGAATTCAAAAACTTAATTACTTTGTTGATAAAACATAAGTATCAATAGGTACTTTGGAAACTTTATAATAATTGTCTATGGGCGCGTTCCCACTATGTCGTGACGACAGATCGCCATGCAATTTACAGTGTCGTGGCTTGTATATTTAAATGTAGTTGTTCACATATAGCACGACACGATTAACTGTCATTCACGATTTTTTATCGTTACAACGACAAACTGTCGTCACAGTGGGAACAGCTAGAACGACAGTCGTCAGACGATAGAAAAACATCACGATAAAAACGTGACGACAGATTGTCGCAGTTCCTATTGTCGTCACGATCTAGTGGAAGCAGCTAGTCACGACAGTCGTTCAACGATAAAAAATCGTCCACGACAGATAGTTGTGATATGGGAACAGGCTAGACACGACAGTCGTCCAACGATAATAAAACGTGACGACATAGCGGGAACGCGCCCTAAGTATCACTTCCATAAAATCCAATTACCTACTCACCGTTTCAAATGCCATGGGAAGAGCTAGTATAGATAATGAGCATTGACAAAAATGTTCTTTACACCTACCATCATTGGTTGCCTAGCAACGTATTAGTTATTAAAAGTCTATCTATACAACCTCAAATGGCTTTGGTTGGTTCCACATAACAGTGTAAGTGTTGAATCAATCACTTTGCAAAAAATATAAACGTAAAATTGAGGATAACAACTGATGAGTATAAGGTGTGAAAACACGATTCTTAAAAATTTTCACGATAACAACGAACGCAAACTTAGCTCGAAATTTTTCAAGAAACCCGTATTAAATCATTGACTTACAAATAAATGGACGACGGGTCTAATACAAAAACCACGAAAAAAATGTCCCAAGTCAACCTATTTAAACGTAGTGACATGTAAAGGAATATGAAAAAGCTAAAACGTTGAATTTAAATTAAAAAATTTAAGTCAAAAGAAACAAACGAAGATTAAAGCGTGAATGACGCTCTGTATACGATTTTAACGCCCTATAAGTTCGGACACTTTTTAGCGCGGACCCGACGTCCATATAATTGTAAGTCAATGTATTAAATAGATACTTTACATATACCAATGATATTTTTTAATATCAACTAAATTAAATAGAACGCGTATACTATACGATATAAATTTTTCAAATAGTTTTAATTGTGTAAAAAAAATAATTCTGAAATACAGCCAGTGTCCGCTCGATCTAAGCAAAATGAATATTAGTACAGGAAAAATTTTAATTCCAGCCGAGATAGTAAAACGACTCTTAAAACATTGTACCTCGAATTTGGCCAGAGTATAGTTTGTAGGTCAAACAATTGTCATACACCTATCTATGTTATGTACTGAATATTTGATAACTACTCATGCACCAATTGATTATATCCATGAAATAATCTGTTATTTTTTTCTTCTCCAGATGCGCGGGGAGACTCTAGAACAAATTGTCGAGCGCGAAATTATTCACTACAACATAAAAACGTCGCTTTTTGATATCGTGTTGGTCGCCATTATAAGATTCGTCGTGCTCTTGTTGTTTTATGGACTGCTTTATATTAACAATTGGAGTATTATTGCTGTAAGTACATTGTTAATTTATAACAGCACAACACAGTGTGTTTTAGAGGTCTGTTTTACATGCACATGGACATGCACCCCGATTTAGAACACTTCGATATTTTAACCGAATCATTAATAATAATAATAATAATAATAATCATTTATTTCATTTCAAGTTTACATTTACAGTATTAGTGACTGGAATCTCCTTTTAAGCATAGCAATGCCTGTGTTAGGAGACTCCGCTCTTCTACATCCATATCTGTTTACTACATCTAATTTACAAATGTCTAAATTGTACAGTACAGGTAATTAGAGCAGTTATATTAGTTTTATTATTTTGAAACAGTGATTGGGTTACATATTTATACAGAGTAGGTTGTGATGTCTTTAAAATAAATATATATTACATAAATACGAAACATATACAGACATATAAATATATACACATTGTGTCAAATTTAATATATAGTATTTCTTCCGTGTTATATATATACAAATAAATGCGGCGAATATTCAATTAGTATAAATTTTACTGTGGTTAGAATTGTATTATTTGTAATTGTAAGGTGTAGATTAAAGAAAGAGTTTGTGGTTGTTGTACCTATTAGACTTTACGTTATTGCAAAAATATCTCAACATTCTCATAACTAAGGGTTTTCAACCATTTCACTAGCAAGCATTTGCACTCATAAATTGTTTTTTTATAAATCATTCGATTAGATATAGTTCTCGAATCGAAGGGCGCTTTCCGAGCTATTCAGAACATTCGAGTTAAACGTTAAATTCAAATTCGGATACATCGTTATCCAAGAGCGTAAGCTTTTAAAGTCCAAAATATAGGAATGCATTAGCCTTGCATTAAAATAAATTAATAAAATTGAACAAAGTCCAGACTATTTAAAAATAATAAGAGATTTCCATATTTACTTTTATAAACTTTCATTCGATAACTGTGTTCTGAATAACGTTTGTAGCCTTTGCCGGTCGAGAAGTTCGAGTGATCGTACGGGTGTGACGTCATTTCGGTTCGGTTTCGAATAAGACAGTTTGACGTTTGATTCGGGTGTTGTGAATAAAAATGAAAAGAAATGGTACAATAACGAAGATTCTGAATCGACCCCATGGACCCAAAAAATCTAATGATTTAAATAGATAGAGGTAGAGAATTTCCAGGTAATTAATGTGCATAGTTACTGAAGATATAATTTTTCAAATCAAATTAAAATAGTATATTTTTAGCGAGGGTTTAAAGTGAGCCAATACACACCCGAGGTGTTAGCCACCCGAGCTATTACTCCGAGGTTTATATTGGCTTGTAGTCTTGGTGTGAAAGCTTCACTTCGATTACGAGAAAAAAAAATATTTCAATCGTTTTCGCTGTACAACAAAATTACGTACCTAAATTGGGCGCAGTTAAGCAAAAAGGATCCAATCCACAAAATTATCAAATAATCTATTACAGCAAGGATATCTATTACTCCGAGGGTTTATATTGGCTTGTAGTATTGATGTGAAAGCTTCACTTCGATTACGAGAAAAAAAATATTTCAATCGTTTTCGCTCTACAACAA